GCCAGCTTTGGCCTCACAGAAGAGGCCCTCAGCAACATCACAGGCAAGCTGAGGTGCCAGTTTGGGGAAAACCGACTCAACGACACTGTAGGGCGGATACAAGGTGAGCCCAGAGAGAATGAGAAAAGGGTTCAGGAGAGACTGAGATGGTGGTGGGGATATGCCATCAAGGTAGATGAGGGTTTGCAGAGTCCTCATCCTGAGGGTCTTATAATCTAACCTTTGAGGAAAGCAGCAGAGGAAGGCAGGGTTAAACAGGGAGGTACAGGTAGTCCTTGACTTACGACTACAATTGGGACTGGAACTTCTGTCACTAAACAGTGTGGTCATTAAGTGAGTCACACCCAATTTTATGACCTTTTTTGATGTGGTCATTAAGTGAATCCAGCTTCCCCCATGGATTTTGCTTGTCAGAAGTCCCTGGGAAGGTTGCAAATGGCAATCACATGACCCTGGGACACTGCAACTGTTGTAAACACATGCCAGTTACTAAGTGCCTGAATTTTGATCACATGACCGTGGGGACGCTGTGACAGTCGTAAGTGCGAGGACAGTTGTAAGTCACTTTTTTCAGTGCCATTGTAACTCCAAACAGTCATTAAACAAATGGTCGTAAGTCGAGGGCTACCTGTATACCGCTGCCTGGTTGGAGGAAACTGTCATGGGGCCTTTCCCCATTCCTGAGTTGAGGTGGTACCCAATCATCCTTGAGTCAGCAGAAAACTCTACCATCATGGCTTTGCTGCCCCCATTGCTGATGTCTATCCTGCATCTGTTCCCAGTGGCCATGAGTGACGCTTTTCCCTACGCTTTCTGTATCTGTACGGTGGGTTAAGCAAACAGATTGGTTGATTCCTGCAGTTTTACATCCCAACCCCTCTCTGGATGTCATCAGCTGGCAAGGGAATTCTGGCAGTTAAAGTCCACACATCTTCAAGTTCCCAAGGTTGAGAAACACTGGATTAGAGAGTGTCACGTGGTGGGATGTCCCCCCAGAGATTTATATGACCCCCATCCTGCCTCTGTTTAAGTGAGCCTTTACAACCTGGCCTTTTCCCCAGACTTGGGCTAGAGTAGAGGGTGGACTCCTTGCGGGATGTGCGTTTTAGTGATGTGTAGTGGTGCGTTTCCAGACGTTTGTTTTGTAGGATCTCTGTATTCTTCTATTTTTAATTGTCTTGAGTTGTATGCCGTTCAGGGTCGGGATGGAGTCAGGCAGGCTATAAATTAAATAAATAAACTCATGCGCAAAACATCCTCTGGATTTGCGCATCATACTAAATTGTAATATAGGTTATTTGGCTTTATCTTCACAAGTTGTATGGATCAAGCCATCGTGGTTTCATGCAATGAGTGTGCCAACTCAGCCAGTTGTTTGTTCAGTAGTCGTGGTTACGCACACCATGGCAATGGTTTAATTCCAGTTATGACTAGACTACCAAAGTATGAAGGATCAGTTGCAATTCCACTGTTACTTCCAAGGAAGAGTTAATCCGTTGTGCTCAGGCCAGCCAGAACCAAATGTAAATAATGGATTTATAATTCAACTATTTAAACTCGACAATTGAAAGCTCATCAGATACAAACATGTCACTAAGAAAATCATAATGTATAATAAAGATTTATTATGGAAATGCTTTTCATTTTACATTGTATATTTTTTCCTTTAAAGATTCACTTCTGCTGAGCACTGATTTCACTGCAGCCAATTATCTACGTCTCGGCCTTGGGTTCACTGTCCTGATAGCAGCTCTGGCTTTCGTGGCTGATGCATTTTGGATGGAGAGGCATCAGGGGAACCAAGCCATGCAAAACTTCTGAATCAGCAAGATCCTGTGGAGTCAAGTGAAAGCCTGGCTTGAAACCGGCAGTACTTCCAGTGAGAAGAGGGGTGACAGTCAAGTCAACTGAAAGCTTCCTCTGCAGATTGATACTGGCAGGGTGGGAAGCACGGAGGCTGGGAACAGACAAGAACACTGTGGGAATGCAAAGCGAGGGCCAGCAACCATTACAGCAGAAAGCTAGGAGAATGAAACCCGGGACACACACACACACACACACACACAGAGCTGGATTGTTATCTGCAATAAAAGCTGCTTAGTTGTATCTTACTTAGGTCTTTATGTCTTTTCCTTGTCTGTCTCATGGAAGGTTGGAGGTAGGCTGGAGTTTTACAGAGAGAATTACTGCAGGAACCCAGAAAATTGTCAGAGCAGTCCTTGACTTACTGACTTACTTCTGAGTAGCTGCATCAAGGCAAACAAAATTCCCCGAAATAGGAACTTTGTTCAACAGCTAATAGGGCCCATCTGAGGTTTTTATTATCAATAAGTTCTGACTTGGTGCTAATCACTGTTTCTAAGACTAGGTACTGCTGCTCCGGCTGGTGGAAGCCACTGTGTCCTTGGACAGAGACCTCTCACCTTGTGAATGATGTGCATGTGGATGTCCAAAGGGGACGGGCGTGGGTCAAAAAAGTCAAGAAGGCGTCTGCAACTATGCAATCAAGCCCTGCCATGTCTTTATGCCTGTCGCAAGGCATGTAAAAAAGAGGCAGGGCTCCAATTGTGCGTTTGCACCATCTTGACTTTGTTGACATCCCTCAGGACACCCCTGGGTGTACATCACAGGGTGTTTGAGCACTTCTGGAGGGATGATGATGATGATGATGGGAGTTTCTTCCTGTTCTTCCTGACAAGACATTTAGGATGAAGAGGAGACTAAGCATCTGATACGTGCTTTGCTGTTTACTTTCATATTGTGTCTATTAGAATATGAGTCTCCAGGAAGGGCCGTTTTCTCTTCTGTATTTGTAAGAGCATCTTGAAAATGTTCTGCTCTTTATAATACAATGAATAATACAAAAGTAATAATACAATAGATGTTTCTTACTAGTTGGAATTATCTTGCAAAAGCCCAAAAAGGTACAGCTGAATCTTACCATTATTCATTAGAAACAGGAAAATACTTTTCCTTTAACCAAGAAAAGGAAAAAAAAAAACAATTTTAATAATCTCTCCATTTACCAAAAAAAAAAAAAAAAGGTTTCCTCCAAGAGAGGAATATAATTAAATGGTGATTCTTGTTTGTTTATTTCAGAACTGTTCTTGTTCCTTTTTGAAACGTTATATATTCACAGTGCACCAAGAGGTCACATCCAAATTTCTGCAGCTTTAGTCAAGATAAATATAATTTTTATTCTGTCTATCAGCTGATTCAATGCCAATGTGTTTGTTTTTATCAGTAACAAGCATTTGTAAGTGGCTGCTAATAATATGCTCCTTCCTATCTAGCTGTTCTGCCTGTTGTTTTACACTGATCTGTTTAAATGCCCTCTGCCTTATCCAGTTTTAATTTATATTTGTAGCTGAGTAACCCTTGATACATCAGATGGACTGCAGTCCAAAAGCATATATGATAACAAATATCTTATTTTTAAGACTCTACCTTTTTGTTGCTTTAGAAATACAAGTCACTGCATTATAATTAACCTCATTTCTTTGACTGTGTGGTTTTATTATTGAATAAAAAGCATTGGCAATTTTAAAAATTCAAAAAAACCATTGTAAAACCCAAGAAATGCAGTTCTTTAATTCTTTAATTGCCTTCCCAGGTGGAACTTATTACAGCTTACTGGGAAATGAGAGATATAAATTGCTAGTTAGGGAACCATGGAAGATAGAAATGTCTTCATGGTGGTTGGGCCTAAGACATACTAGTGAGAAAAACAATTGATATTTTGGTGAGTTTAGATGATATTTTTGCTCTGAAAGTCAGTTTTCTTCTTTCCCCTAGCCCCCTATCCTTAAAAAATCTTAAAGCTCTGATCCTGTTTATCTGTATTTATAGATTTGCTCTATTTCAATACTAGGATTCCCAGATTGTGCTAAGCTATAATGTGGTCCATTTAATTTTTTGCAGAGCATTTTAAACCATGCTTTAGGGCTCAGCAGGTTATACAGGGGCTATTAAGCTTTATTCAGTAAACCATGGCTCAACAAGCTATAGCTTAGTCCATTTTGTTTGCTTAATTATGTAGATTTCCCTACTGTGGTTTAAGAAGGCTGTGATTACATGTTATTTTTACCCATGATTAATTTAAGTTTGGGGTATTTGATTAACCAAATTTTCTGGGTGTGCATGATACATGGGACCATAAATTAACCACATGACCAAGTTTGCCCAGCATATTACTGTAGGTTAAAACATGGCTGGCTTTTTTATGATTTAATGTGGCATACTGAGAGAGCTTGAGTATTGATTATGAAGTTGCTGTTTGTAAAATGTCTTGAGCAGTTCTGCATGTAAAATATACAAAGCTAGTGAAAAACTCGCCCAGTCTAATGTCCTCCAAATGAGTTGGAATAGAGTTCCTATCAACTTCAGATAGCATGATTGGAGAAGGTGGTTTCAATCCAGGTGTAATGAATCTGGAATGCTAGAACTTGGGTGACCACAAGGTGGCGGCAAAGAGATACATAATACTCCAACTCTGCTCTTTTCTAGTGGTGGTCTAGATTTGCTATTGTAAAGCATAAAATGCTGTAATTCACAGCATCAGTAACTTGCCTTGGAATCAAGCGCCTGTTTGCTCCTGTATTTGCATTTTTTGCAGCCCTAGCAGAGCCAAGCATCCCTACTGAACTCCCCATCCATCCAGATGGGACCACAGATCTAATTTTGGACCTCCCTGATTAAACAGACTGCCCTGAATTTCTTCTATGATCCCAGAGAACATGTGTCTTCTTACCAAAATTGTAATATTCTATCACTGGCAGTGACTACGACTCCTGTAACACAGCTCTGTGCTGTTGCCAGCGAGATGAAGGACCAAGTGGTGGTTGATGAGATGGGGAAACAGCCGCGGCTCTCAGTTCATGGGCCATGTGGGAAGAAAAACCCTCAGATGTGCCAAGATGCTACAACCAGATATGACCCGTTAAAAAAAAACAAATCAGGTAAACAGAATAAAGAGGGCTTTTTGACTCGAAAACCCTCCAGTGAGTGGTGATTAAGGGTACCTGTGGGCAAGGCTTATACCAAGTGTTGATAGTGAAGAACGTATTTCATTAACAGTTTCGTGGACTTCTGTCAGGTTCAGCCCAAGAAACTCCACGGGACGGTTCTGGAATTGCTCAGTTACTTTATTAGCTTGCACCTGCTAGACAGAATCTCGCCAGGCTAACTCTAACTCCCCAAGCCTGCAACTAAACACTCCGAATTCCTTAGGGTGGTGCCAGTCTCATCCTCTTTACTTTCACACGCTCAAGCTGTGGGCCGAGGAGATGCTTGACCTTCTTCCCATGACCTTGAATCTCCTCATCCAAGTCGTCCTCCACAGCTTCCAGGTTATAAGCTGCAATTCACAGATGGAATTGATATGTGATGTTCAGCCATAATATGATCTCCTGCCTTGATATTCCGCACAAATCCAGCCAGTGAGGTTCATGGCTTAGCATCTTGTGAAAACCGAGTCAACTGTGGTATTAAAAAAAAAAAGATAATTAAACAAACCATGGCTTAACAGGACAATATCCAAAAGGCAGTCTGGTCCTAAGTGAATTGGCCAGACTATGAAGAACTCAAGTCCTTGTTCATATCTCCATCTTCAAGATGGATGACAGGGATGGATATTTTTAAATGGAGACCCTGCACTGCAAGATGATTTTTCCCCCTGTTCTTGACATGAGCATCTGTTCCTCATGATGATGATGCCGAAACAATGAAATGTGACTTCATAATGCAAGCTGTGCCCTTTCCTCCTTGCGGCATGATGTCACATGCCAGTGTGGAAGGGGCTATGTTTACACTGCAATGTTGCAGTGCAGATTTTGTCACTCCCCTTCCTTTGCCCCTCACA